GACAACCATAACTGTCATCAGCGATAGAACAGCTTTTTGAAGAAATATAGCTGATTTGAACTGGGGCAATACCACTGGCTTCATCTAAGAAAATTAAAAATACAAAATAAAAATATTTTTTAGAACATTATTCCATTCATATTTTTAATACATTTTAAATTACTCAGCCTGATACTATTGTGAATAGAATCTTAATATAGTCATCCTTATAATTGTGGAGCTCAATAATTGACAAAGACAGACTTATACTTTAAAAAAAAAAAAGTCATACTGTTGTTTATAGATAAACCAGCAATTCTGAAGAAAAGTTGAAATGCCAGTAAGTTGTAAATTTGTCGTGGCCACAGGGGTTGTCCAAAAGGGTAATTGCAGTTTTACAAACACATAAAAAGCTTCAGCTGTTTCATGACATTACACAAGGAGAGCAAAATCCTACAGGACATCGTGGAGCCTGTAAGAAGTGTCCCAAAACCAGGAAGCATAATGGTCCTGTTCTAAAACCAATTCTTACTTAGTGCTACATACAGATATACCTCAGGATCCATTTTTTCAGACAAGATTTCCCATTACAATGCTGAGGGATAACTATCACTCACACAAATGAAGGAGACTTTCAGAAAAGCTTAACAGTCATAGTCAGGAAAATTAAATATTTTTAATTCACTACAGTCAGAGCTCACTCTTGCCACGCAATTTTAGAAAAAGAAACGTAGACTTCACAGGAGGCAATCTAGTGGAACGAGGGACACTGGCCATCTAGTCTGTTTCTCTTGATTGCAGCAGAGTTGTCATTTAGATTAGAAAGCAACCATAACAATCTAAGCTTTCAATTATTAAAATGTACTTCTAAGTATTTGTTCCGTGGGAGGGAATGAAGAGAAGGGGAAAAACTAGCAAAAACGTACATCTCGGAGTCCAAACTACAGATCTTGGAAAATTCACATGGATACCAATGGTTACACATTACTGTTAAGGTCTCTGTCACTCCTTTGCCTTCCCCATACTGTCATGCTGCTAAAGACCTCCTGCTGTTATGCAGACCTGGAATTTCATTCCCTTCTTAAAATGACAGCACTAAAAGAGTATTCTACAGCTTCTCTCCAACCTCAATAAGGCCAAGAAAGGATCAATAAGCATCTCCCTTAGTATTTCAGTAATTTGCCCGTTTCTCAAACTTGCAGACCTATAGGAAAAGCTCAGGGAACAGTGGAAACTACTGCAAAAGGAACTAAAGCCATTAAGTTAGAAATATTTGTATGATAAGGAGATTCACGGTTTTATTCTCCTCTTTCCCCTGGACAAAGTCAGTACTTTAAAAAGAAAAAAAAAAAGCAATGGTAATTATCTCATCACTGCATAATAAAAGGGGCTCTTTTGCCCTAATATGATAACGAAGGATTAAAAATACTAGTAACATTTATACTGGATATGTTCCAAAGCAATAAGACCCTAATTTCTTACTTTCATTTTACTTTTTTGTAAAGGGAAACAAAAGGATTTTTATAATTTTTCTTTCCTCTAGTCAAGTCTCCAGACCCAACCCTTTTAACACTTACAAGAAAGAAAATGCAATAGGATGCAATCAGTGGATATGGACAAACTTGGAAAAAGGAGAAAGGTGACAGCAGAAAGACTAATTAGTAAGGAAGAAGTAACATAATATTATATGATGTTCTGTACAGTTCACAGATCACTTCTTAAAATGACAGCCCTTTAAAAGTCACATAAGTTGTACCTTGTCTTTTTTTACTGCACATATAAAACAGAGTTCTTAGAGTGCTTGTTTTCCTAATTTTTTCTTAGATACATACATTTTAGTATAAAAGTGTACATTTAGAATAATTATGCTTTACTTACAGTATATATTTTAGTAAAAACTACAAATCTAAATTTAAAAGTTAACTCCATGAAGTCACAGACAACACAAAAGCAAGCTTTATTAGAACTAATGTCATACAAAATTTAAATTTGAAGACTTTATTTCTCTTTCAGGGATGCTCTTATGCAGTTTTTGTTAGGGTACTCACTTCAATGCCTGAATGTCTGCATGTGATATCTAATACAGATTTCTGAAATACTCATTTTTACAGTAAAACCATTAAGGAGAACTTTTCAATTAAGTTAAATACTTTGACTTTGGGGTTTTTTTTTGGTCTATTTGATTTCCCAATAAAGTTAAGAAATATTAGTCTAGCGTATTTCAAATGCTAAAAATATGCTGACTGTAGCAGTATACAGAGGTTTCATTCAGCACAGAAAATTTATTAAGTGAACCTGTATTCTTGGCTAACAAACTAACCACTATTAATCTAATAATTTTTCTAAAAATCTATTGCATGATATTTCTGAATGGTGTGTACTAACATTGTGATATTTCTACTGCCTTATATTAAAATACCCCCCAAAAAAATCTGAGTGATAAGAACAATTAGATATTTTCTTCCAGAGTGATTTGTTTTACCTGTTGTAGTTTCATTAAAACATTCTTACACCAAAAGAAAAAAAAAAACACCTATGTGAATACATACCCATATCACTTTCCATTATAAGCTCATTATGAATTTGCTGAAATCCAGGAATGGGCCGTGTTGTCAGATACCATACTGCATGAAGGACATCTGTGGCGTGTATACGATTGTGATCTGAAAAATTATCAAAATATAATCAAAAATTATATCTTAAATATAATCAAAAAGGAATAAAAAGAAAAAAAATGTAATATACCAAATTTACTATAAGGGAGATTTTGATTAAATATAAAGGAAAAATTGAATTTAAATTGTTAGTGAAGGCTATATCATTGAACATTTTTAAGAAACAAGTTAGATAAACATCAGACATCCTCTAAGCATACTTCATCCTACCTGAGAGTCAGGAAAGGATTAAGTAGCCTTTTAAATCAGTGATGGTGAGCCACTAGCATTGCTTCCAAACTGATACCTATGAGCACCTGGGTTGGTGCAAACATCTGGGACATAGGGGGGTGTGGGCAGTAGGTGGGGTGGTTTTTGTTTTGTTTTCCGATAAATTTGGCTGCCCTAAACAGTGAGCTGAATAATTACTGTCAAAATTCTATATTTTCTTATTATTCTATTACGGGCCTAAACCAAATTTCTGTTAAATCAACAAATATTCTCTCATTGACTTCTAGTATGTTTGAATCAACTACTCATTCAAATTCTTTTATATTCAACCTACATATTAACAAATTCAGTTTTGGAGTCCACTAATTTTTTGCTGCAATTTGTTAAATCAGTTCCAAATTTTGACAAATGTATTAATTAAAAATATACTAAGTTCAGACATTGTGCATCTCTGTATTAAACATTAAACTAACACACATACTAAAGGAGACATACTCATATAAAAGAAAAACATTATGGATTGTACTTACATGGAATATCTCGGTAACCATTTTCTAGTGCACAGAAGTAATTCATAAATTCTTGAGTTGGGATTTTGAAAATTTCAAACAAACCAGTGTCTTGAAACAAGGTGTAAGTTACCTAAATACATATTAAAATGAATTTTAGTCTGAAAAATATACCGAAGCATATTCTGCTTTTTCAACTTTAAAAATATTCCTGTTTTTAAAATTTTACTTGCTGATAGAGATGGAAATTACTGAAATTCCATTAAAGATTATCTGAAAGGCTATTGTGATAGAGATATGTTTAATGACTTTTTTAGCACAAAAACGTGGATTTTTATAATCCTTTCAAATGCAGATTAGTAAAAGCTTTTATTTCTTTACTGATAAATTCTATGCACAACTGATTATTTTTATTAATATTCTCCAAAATTTTCATAATGTTAAAGAACTCATGCTTTATTCCATTAGTGACCTAAAAAGAAGAAATCTATATTCTTATTTATTATTCAAAATATCAAATTAATTAATGATAGTAGCAGAGCCATTAATATAAAAAAAACCAACAACATTGTATTTATTTTTGAGACTTTGGCAAAGAAATTCTATTTCTTTTATTCATTATGACTTATCTTGGGTATTGTTAACAAAGCTAGCTGATAAATGAAAAAATATTTCAAAAATGTACTCAGAACACCCACACATGTATATACTATGCAAATATTTTACTGTTTACAAGTAGAACTTGGTGATTACAAAGACCTAATCCCCTCAAGACTGCAAATATTGAGAAAGCTTTTCAAAACAAGTCACTGCTACTCATTTTTGTCACTTCTTTCCCAGACATTTGAGAGAAAGAATAAGTTCTGAAGTGTGGGAGGTGCTCAAAGGAACATGAGCGCAAAATGAGGGGACATCCCTCCTTCCACCTGTCCCAACCATTCCCCTTACCCACACCCAATCTGAGAACCTTACAACTGATGATGGTAAAATACAGTTTTTAATTGGCTCTTCAGTAAGATATGTATCAGATGCTTACAGCACAGCAGACAAGGACTGAGGCAAGAGGAGGAGAAGGACAAGTAGTACACATACATACAATATCAGGAAGAACTGATACAGAAATTCTGTTAGAGTTAAGTAAAAACCTCCACACTTAAATACTTAGAGGTTTGAACTCTCCCCTAGATCGCACATAAATGAAATGCAAACTAATGTGGATCACAGAGTACTAGTATACTACCGTAAAAACACCACTCAAAAGTGGATTGTGGCATTCTAGCCTGTACATTAACAGTTGTCACTAACTGAGGTGACGGAAGACGTGAAAACATTTGATTGAGCAAGACTAATTGAAGATTTAAAGCAATACCCAGAAAATTGTGTATTATGAAAGAAAAGACAGTGTTTAATGAGAAAAATTAAATTATCCTCATTGTTTTTCCCCCATCTTCAGTACAGGTGCAGGCCTATGGTTCCAGTTGCACCTGAGTGCTTGTAACCTGTTTCCTTCCCTCCACATGATTGTTCCTAACACTACCTTCAAACAAGAGCAACATGCATTCTACTCCAGGGTAGGAAACTAAGATACTGGCAATAAAAGTATTTTGTGGTCAGATCAGAAGCAAATCCAGCTCACACTATAGCTCCATGGTTGCTAAATCCACTATAAAGAAAGAGACAGAAGCTTCCAGATGGCAATGATGAATGGGAGAGGCTGGAGAAGAGGAAACAGGATCATACTTTTGCACCTGCCAGTAGATCGGCTTCAGAACAACATGAAACTGCACGAAAGAGCTTAGTAGTAAGTCAGAAAGAGATAAAAGGGATACTACATGCAGAAAGCAGCATGGAAAAAAAATCCCATTGTTTGTAGGATCAAGAGGCAAAAGACTGCCTAAAAGATCACTTCTCTTCCCCCACAGGTGTAGCTCTGGCAGAAATATTTTACTGAAATAAAGAAAAAAGAAATGGTTGACAAACAAGGTAGTAATTCTGAAAGCAGGAGACAATTTTTCATAGGAAATGTCATATTACTACAAAACCTAGTAAGTGTGAATCTAACCTATTTTTGCACTAACAATAAAATTCAGAGATTTTGGAGCAAGTTGTTTATAGATAATTCACTTTTTATGGTTTACAATGAGATGGACTACACGAGAAATTATATTTCTACTTTTGAAGGTAGCATTCATATATATGTTGACTGCAAAACTTCTTTACAGTTTAAATAAGATATATAAGCATGACAGCTTTACACACCCTCCCTTATACAATAAAAGACAACCAACCTGGCTAAGGATCCTTCCAGACTGGTCTCCCATTTCTTGTACAAGGTCAAAAATTTGGAAATTCCAATTGTTCATCTTCTCCATTAGTGAATCATGGTCTAATAACATTGTTTCTAATGTAGGACTCTCCTCCACCTGTATGAGAGTAAGATACTTTATCATCTCTAAAATAACTATGAAAACTAATTTGTCAGTTGTGTTGGCAAAAAAAGCCATGAAAATGATAAATCATTATTGAACTTACTGAATGGTGCTGTAACTACAGCTACGAGAAAATCATAAATCAATATTACAAATAGCACAGTTAAGCGCTTGACTTTTCATATTTTGCGGCAGCAGATTCCAGGGCTTTCTGAAATGGTACTAAATTTTCATTCTTATTTCTTTTTAAACAATATGAATTAACAAAACAAAGCAAAAATACGTATAGGCTAACAAAACATTTGCTAAGCTTTAACAGTTCATTAGTTGAACAAGCCTTAAAAAACCTGACATATAAACCCAAAATGTTAATAAAGCTTAAATCATTTGTCTCCCTGCAGTTCCAATGTGCTGCACTGTATGAACATTCATCTGTAAGTCTCACCGCCACATCTTTCATAAACTCCCAAGAGAAAATACTAGTCAATCAGTGCTTGATTATATTATCAACACTAAATCTACACAAATTAATTTTGATCAACAAAAAATTAATACAATCACCAGCTTTCTTGTCGTTTGCTAGTGAAACTTAAGCAAGCTCGAAATACACAATTGTTAAATGAAAATCTGAATTTCAATGATGCACCATTTCCCTTCAGAAATTGGAGTTCTTAGCAATACAGAAAGACCTCTTTAGAGCACATTAGAAATTATAAAGAAATACTGTATTGATAAAAGTTATTGCAAGTTTTTTTTGCAATTACAGGCTTACAAGCAGATTATTTTGTGTTTGATTGATCATTTCCTTCCTTTCATCTTTTTTCTTCTCTGTATGGTGGAAAGGTTCTTTTGAAACACTAGCACTTCCAATTTCACCTTAAAGAAAATGCACACATAAATACTATATCAATAATTTATTTGTAAATTACTACTGTCTAATAATTCTTGAACTGATCATACCAATTTTTTACAGAAATATAATAGCTTGTTTCTAACCCATTCTTATTTAAGAATTTAACAACAAAAAAGTTGTAAAGGACAAAATTTATTAGACAAAACCTATTTGAAGATTAAGAAAAGCTAGAAGCATAACTTTTTACTTGCAAATATTGGTTCAGTGATTAGTTTAGCTGAGATGGCAGAGACCTTGTTGATATATGGAGTACAGAACTATAAAGCTATGAGTGGAAGGAAGCCTATTATAAAATCTTTACTCTGAAGCATATAATATTTTAGATTGTCTTGATTATCTTAAGTCAAAACCTAAAATAAAATATATGCATATGAGTTACTTAAGGTATAGGAAAAAACTTATGTAGAAATACAAAAATTTTAATTTAATTGACTTAAAAAAAAAAAAAAGCGCAAGTTAATACCAAATGTCTATTTTGAAATCCCACCTGAGTTTCTGTCTCTATATTCCACAAATTCTGGTTCTGGTGTTGGAACAGGCTTGAGTGTCTGACGTCCACAGCTTACAGAATACATGAAAAATATTTACAACATTCAGTAATTTTCTTCTTTTGCTACTGCTGTGTTGTACTGAAAAATATCTGCAAATTACTTTTCTTAAAAGGGCATGCTTTTGAATGTTCCTCCACTGAGTGACCTTACTGTTTTCTCCTGAATTTGGCACACACAGATTTAGCCTGTACTTAGAAAATAATCAACAGTCACCTCCTCTGGACTCACCTCCATGAATTAATAAAGTAGAGCTAATTATTTAGACAGTATTTAGAAATACAGAATTCAGTTCCCGAATAGGAAGTTATCCTTTTCTAAAAATCTGTAAGATATTGTTACTCTACAGTAACTGCTGCTTTCAAGGATGAGGCATTTCAAATCAATGGCATACATACAGCATTCTTTAATCTCCCCTGGATAATATGACATTATTATGAGATCCTATGCCTTTTTTTCAATATTAGTAGATGTACAAGTCTTGTTATATTTTTTCATTTGTATGCATTGAAAAGAATACAATTGAAAGTTACTAAAAACGTAACAGAATTTACAGTACCTGCTACACATATAACCTACAGGTGTTTTAACTTGCTGCTGAAAATCTGGAGAACTAAATGTGTATCCTGGAGGCTTATGTATATTAACACTTGGTTTTGTAAGAAAATCAGCAGTATCAGGAAATTCTACAGGTGACCAGCTGCTGAAAGCCCCGCTGGAGACAGATCCATGACTAGGTGAAGCCAGAGGACTCAGGCCAGGAGAAGCACCTTCCAAAACAAACATTACATTGGGTTCGGATTACAATAAAAACATTACTGTTTAGAAAGACAGAAATTAAATGACAAGGACCTTTATAAATTGTAAAGAATGTGCTGGTTTTCAAAGCATGGTCTATAGTTCACACTGTTAAACACATATAAAGTAGCTAGATCTATTCCAAGATTTGAGATCTACAACTATGTAGCAGTCTAGGCTACACATCTGAACGGGCAAACTATGTAACGTGTTATAACATTCAAAGCATTCAAAGGTTTGGTTTTGGGTTTAACTTTGGCAAAATTTAATCAGTAGCTGAAATCTTCCATATTCCTTTCTGATTCAGGATTGATTTTTTAAATTTTCCAGAAAAAAAACATCAAAAACAATTCCATATTGGTAACTGACCTAGACAAATATCTTTTACCTCATTGTTTTACAATAAAGAAAAAATATACTTGAGACGTTTTTAAAAACAAAGTAAAAACCCAAAATGTTGTAATCGTATTTTTGAAGCAAGGGATTAAAGTGGGCAGATACTGGCCTTTTTTGGCAGTGATGTACCTTTTTTTGTTGACATGATAATTTATCTAAATCTGCCTAATAAAACCATTGGAAGAAAAAAAGAAATCTACAGTTTGCTCATGGGTAATTGGAGATTAAAAAAAACCCCAACAATAAACAACTCTATCTTCCTTAGGTCCGTGAAATTCCCTGTTCCTGTTCAAAGAGTAAGCTAGTTCACTTCAGGCTTCTGACTGTGAAATCCAGGAAAGCAAGCTGGTAAATCTGAACTTTGGCCATTCTGTGCCTAACATGAATTTAATGCAAAATTTTGCATTAAGCTAAACCATCATTTATTTCCCTTGTGAAAATACACAAAAGACGAGTTATCTACAAGGGCCCATGATAAGTTATAGCTACCGTAAACGTACTTTTATCAAAAAGAATGAAGTGCCCATGAGCAAAATAATGAGGTATTCTGTGGACTTTCCAAAGCTGAATCACTTATTCTGCTGCAAACTATGAAAGAAAAACTGCATCATAAGTTTTATGACTGTACAGTGCCTGATAACAAATTACTAAGAGAATATACAGTATTGCTGTTAAATAAGGAATGCATAGATGATACACTTCCAACAGTGTCACAGGCTACACTGACTTGACTCACACACCCGAAGAGTAGTATGTAATTACATTTTGTTACAGTAAAAAGACAAGATTGTTCAAAGTCCACATTGCTAGGTGCAGAGACAGATGTTTTAGAAAGCAAATATTACTTCACTGGTGCAAAGACCTGTAAAGACTCTTTTCCTCAACTAAAACAGATTAATACTCTAATGTTGGTTACTTAATTTCATCCTTTTTACATGTACACATTCAGCAGGTTTTAACGCATATCATCGTGCTCTGTATTTTCCATAAGATTCAAAGTAGAAAAGTGCAGAAGGCAGCCCAGCTTTTTATGAAGACAGAACCATTGAGAATGCGCAACAATGTGTTTACGTGTGGATCTGGTCTGAGTTTCCATGTTTTTTGGTGTTTAGAAAAGTGAGAGGTGAACAAGCAAACTATCAGTAAGTAATACAGAGAAAAGCGGTGAGGTTTTGGGTTAAAAAAAATAATAATAAAAAGTGCATTAATCTCTCTCAATCCAACCTGCATATTTACACTTTTATAAACCAAAATTATTAGACAGGTTGTTATTTTTAAATCATTCTAAAATAGATAGGCAGAAATGTCAAAAGAAGTAGTTTTCAAGTTTTCACTTAATATTTGCAGACCAGTTATAATCTCTGAAATACTGATATACACATTATTTCAGCACTGCTGTTACAATATCTACTAGCTTATTATACTGACAGTGTTAGAATAAAATCTACTCCAACTCATTCCAACATTTGTTTAAATATTCATCTCAGATGGCTATCAGGTATTTAGGAGTGTTTAAGTGACACTGTTCCATTACAAAAAGTATAATTACTAAAAAAAAAGTCCCTAATTAACGTATGTGAACATTGCAATTTTCAACAAGTACCAACCATACTGAACATCACAACATTTTGCAGCCTCATAGCATTAGGTGAACAGTTGAGATTTCTACAAAGTTGATGTTAACTGTAATTTTGAATATTCTTAGAAGTAGATTAAAAATAAAATATTTTTAAAGATATGCAACATGCTGATGTTATTTTAGTACTACATTTACACGAAAAAAAACAATTGTAATACATGATGTACTAACTACTACCCTGACATCCTGCCACTAAGCTATACAAATTGCATGATCTTACCTGCTCGTCTGGGACCTATATGATGAGTCAATGTCATAGAAGATGATCTTTGTTTTGGTATTGTCAGCAAGTTTGCACCAAAAGACCCATTTGAATGAGATCCTTGGCTGAAAATAAAACAGTAAGAATTTTTTTTCTTTCCTACCTTGTCTTCCATTTTTATTAAATAAAATGCTTATAAAATGGCCAGTCTGCTTTGTTACAGGTCCACTACCATCCAAGAAAGAGAATACTAAAAAGAAGCCAAATTCAAGCTCAGCTAGACAATCTATGTCAGTTATATGGAATAAAAACTGCTGGGTACTAGGTGAAAGCAACAGAAAACTTCATGCAGTCCTAAAATGACACAGTAAGTATGTGCCATAGGTTTTACTTTCTAACATGGTATTTACTTTTCTTGAATGTTTTAACAAAGCAGACTATTTTCTAACATATCTGGCAACATTTAAAGTATTGGTTACTTTGGAAATACCATGACAATCCATGGCTTGCTTCTTAAATCAATTTTCCATATTTAATTTATCATTTTATTTATTATCATCTTAAAACTAAAGCTGTTTTTGATATAAAGTAATTTTGTACTTCAGTAGCTAAACTCAATTGTTGAATTATGCCATCTGCTGTACTAGGCATGAAATTGCATGCTAAAATTCCAATTATATATTTGGACGCAAGATGCAATTAAAAATAATTGTATACATATACTTTAAAGTGAAAACAGTTAATGTAAAACCAATTATTTCATATCGGTATATGGGAAAACAGTATTTGCCAAAACAGATTTAATCTTGTTTAATCAAATTTCAGACAAAAGTCAAATACAGAAATAATACTTGATCTCCCATCATTTGTTTAAATATACAAATATAAAAAATGAGTTAAAGAATAAACACAGTTTTATTCCTCTGAAGTCTGATGCTGACATGTTAGTCAACTTCCAAAAACGTTTTGGTTGACAACTGGGATAGATTAAACTTTTCACTATTTGTACGCCGTTTAGCTATCATAGCTTACATGTGTTCTTTTAAAGCACATAAAAATGCTGCAACAGTATTTAGTGCAGGAAGACTACATATTAAGCAAGGTCAGTTCATCTTGAACTAGTCTTTGAGAAACCAAATCAAGAATTTGCAGGCAAATAAAAAAGCAGCTCTCAAGAGTTGCTTTGAACACTGGATGGATGGATAGAAAAAAATTCTGGAACATTAAATCAAATTTTGTAGCAATATTAATTTATTGTACCACTATGTAATATCTTATCTTTCTCAACTCAGTTAGAATTCAGTTGAAAGCAGTCATTGTATGTAGAAAAGTATTTTGATTTTTTTTTAAGCTTTCCTCCTAGTGAACAGTTTGCTATTTCACTCTCCCTTTCTACTGTTAGCCTGCTCCTCCTTGCTTCTCTTCTAACATTCACTGGGTCCTTCATTGGGCTGAATAAGCTCCCCAAGGCAGGAAAAACTGTCTTTTTATTGCTGTTATTTTTCTGACAATTTAAGCGGCTGACTCAAGAGCCAGAGCCAATGGCACAAAGTGCTCTAGGAATGCAGGGCTGCCACTTTTGGCAGCAGAACAGCTATGCCAGTTCAGCTATTTCATCTAACTGTATCTGTAAGGTAAACAGCCATGAGGGATTTTGATATGATTAGAAGTCAAAGGGAACCTGATAAGAACGATCACTGGAAGATGGAAGGAGACAGGGACAGTGCCAGTGTTGGCAAGAACTCTGAAGGGCAGGACACAAACCATAAATAACCGAACACATGGTCTAGGGCTGTATGGGGGTGGACAGGAGGAGGTATGGGGAACATGACTAGCTAGAAGTGCTAGTCATCAGGGTCAAGAGATAATTTTAAAGTGATGAAGTATGAGTGAGGGTATTTCCATATTGCTACTTTTAATTGAGTGAGCTCGAGTAGGTTCTTTGATCCATAGGAGCTGTAAGGAAACCCTCTGTAAAACTACACTGCGTCTGCACCAGATGTGCTGAACCTCAAACTGAAGTCCCACGGTTTGTAAGTTTAAAGCGATTTCTCTGGTCTCTGGTTACTTCCAGTGGATATGACTGGGGAGATTCTTTCAAATAGGGATAACCAAATCAGCATAAAAAGACAATCTTTCAACTACTATCATCTTCAATTATAGTTTATGCACAAACCACAATTAAGTTTTACTATGTAAAAACTTCAAGAATATATTTTACTCAAGGAGAAAAAGCCACTGATGAAGGCCAAATTACTTCAATGGTTCACTTTAAAATTAAATACCATACTGATAAATAAATCATGGGACATGGGTATTTAAACTGTCATCCAGTACTAGTAATTATCAGTTATCAGCATAACTTATATTTTCTTTTAAAAAAAATGTGTCTATTATACTTTCCTTATGACCTATGTAAAACCACTACAGTTTTAAGAGATACCAAGCATTTTAAAAAAAGGAAAAATAAAAAAAGGCAAAACCACACACATTTTTATGGATTTAAACTGCAACACAATTTCAAACATCTGTTGTATTTTTCTTACAAGTATTGAGGAAAGCCATGCACATTGACACATTCAAATAAAACTAAATGTGTGAAGTTCACTCATATACAACATTAAACAAAACCAAAAAGTACATTTGTTTAATCCTAATTCAAAATGTAATCTTAATTCTGGAAATAAAAGCTTTATTTGCACCATATTGACTAACAAGTAGAGAAGAGATACTTGCTTAATGACTGTAGGAATAATAAACGTTATATCATATTTTTAATTAGAAAACAAATTGTGGGGTATGTGGAAATTGGAAAGTGATACATATTTTAAGTAAAAAGGAGGAGGAAGTCAGTAAAGGTTTAGAAGTTAAACTAGTTTGTCTTGCAATAGTGTATGATGGACTTTTTTTTAATTTCCTATTAAAACTGATATGCAGGCCTACTTATTATGACAGAGCATGCCATTCAGCCTCAGAATGACCTGATTACTTGAGATCAAACAGTTACAAAGTATAGTACATAATTAACTTGAAACATTTTCCAGTTTATGCTGGCAGAATTTGGAGACTTAATTCACAAGATTCTACATTAAATACTTCTGCTGCCAACTTCCAATGTTACAGACATGAACATTTTAGAAAGGGTACATTTATTATTGCCTTTGAAATGTGGTTAAGTGCTTACCTTGATGTGTTATATTCCTGATGAGACCTCTTGCTGTTACTCCGTTCCCATCTAGATGATGTTGATTCTATAGGTGGAATGCCAGAAACTCCTGAAGTTCTTCTCAGCTGTGGTGTTGGCAGGTTATTCCTGCTATTTAATCCCTGCTGAGTAATTTAACCATGGTTAAAATCTATATAATTAAAAACAGACATTAAAATTTTATTTATGGTTTGTGAAGACTATTGTTCATTTTTTATAGTGAAATGGTAAGTATGGTATCTTACATTCACTCTTATTGCTCAAGAAAATAAAAAAGGATGCAATCAAATTATTTTGCTCACTAGGAACAATTATTTTTCATATCTCTTTTTTGCTTTCCCCAAATTAAAATATGTAAAGATACTTGTACTCTGAAATTCATGTTGTCCAACAATAACTCTTCAGAGCTTTTAAAAATGGAGATCTTCTAGAGACAGTCAGTTGTTGTAGGATTATGGATTCTTTCTTTACGCATCCCAATCACATGACTACACAGTCAGCTCTCAGGATAGCCTGAGATTTTGATAACTCAGACGCTGAATATTGACAGTGTGAGTATTGTGGGTCTTGTGGAAAGGGTGATGCAAAATGCACAGGGTCAGTTCTGGTCCATCAAGGCTCCCTCTCTGCTTCCATACCAGCCCCACAGCAGCCGGGAAGCTTCCCGGGGCCCCTCACCACCCCCAGCATGGAGGCTGTGGTAGCTTAGGCACACTGCAGCCCAAACACTGGGAACCACCGTCATACTTGAACTCAAAGCCCTCTGCACAGCAGGGCAATGGCACTCAAACAGTCCTGTATGGAAATAATTCAGGACTTACTAGCTCTGCCTTACTGAAATACCCCAGAAAAGTATATCCATGTTTAAAGAACAACTAGCAGAACCTACCTAATAGAAAGGGTATGATCACTGAACTGAAACTGCAAAGCCAGCTCTGGTATATCTGCATCCATTGCACAGATAAACTATGCATTGTATTTTAAACAAATTATATGTATATATACACACATATATCTATCTATATCTGCATTCAGTCCGCAATCCACTTGTTAACTCATCCCTAGATTTGGTGATCCTCAGTGGAGGGAGGAGTGGGTGGAGGGAGAATATTCTTCTGCATAATACAGATGTGTGTAATCAGACCTTGCAAAGCAAAAAGGATGTCAGGAAAAAGTGTTTGAAACAAAAACTCCAAAGCAGTATTTGCAGTATTGAGTAAGGTCTGCAGAGTCACGTGTGAGGACAGGTGACCCTTGGATAGATACTACCACTCCAAAAGTCTGGCAGTAATAATGACTTTGCAATTTTAAGCTTCATCAGGTGGTCAAAGATCACACTTAACTCACAAAGCTATTACATATTTCAAAAAAGTGAAAGAGCGTTGACACAAAAGAATTCAGTCTCTTACCCTGAAAAATCAGACTGTTTTGAGTCCTTGATATGGGATGTACCTTGACTCTGTTTGCTTTGCTGCAAAGCTGTAGTCACAGCCAGAAAGGTGGAATTGGACAGGCAGAATAAGACCACCATACTGCCCACAGAAACATGCAGCAGTCCTTAACAAGCCCTACCAGAAAGAGAAACAGAGGAGCGTATTCTGTATGCTGTTGTACAGCGGTAGTGCTCGCGGGCAAAAATGGACTTCTCTGTCAGTGGACCACATCAATCTAACGTGCGTGCTCTCTACAACATGAGGAGCACAGCTGAAAATCCCCAACACTGGAGGAGAAAGGTCCACTCCCCGAAACAAGTGCACATGTTAGCACAATATGGAAAGAAGGCCCCACCACCTGCACTTACGTTTTCTTCTTCCTGCCTACTCTAAGAATGAGGGGACACTGGGGATATGACAAATATCCAGAACTTTCCCCTGCTAGATAAAGAAGCAGAGAATAAACAAAACGTGGGTAGCAAAGGACTAAGGAACGCCAGATCAGCCTGTGCTAGCAAAGTCACTGGAAATCATTATACAATGGGGAAAAGTTGCTCTGGAAACAGAATTTAGACCATGTCAGAAATCAAAGTTATTATGAAAAGACTTTCAGTTACCAGCAATAACAAGGCCAGGAGGCAAGGGATGTGGATACTCATGTGCTTGTCTAGACAACTTTTACTTGCCTAAAGTGTGAAAACTTAAAATCATGACTGTTGATAACACCAGAAATCCACCAATCTGGCAAGCAGTCTACCGTCATACACTAGGAAATCTGGGGACGGTTCTGCCATGATGGAAGTGAAAAGTCTCTCTATTGCAGAGCAGCCCTGAGATGTTTTTTGTCTAATTAAGATTTCTTTTTTCTTTTTTTAGGAATTTAAAGAGACTGATCAGTGAATGGCACCAACTGGGTAGTTTACACTTTCCAAGTTATTGACTACCAAGAAACTCAGAGTGAAGAGTTAGTATTAGATAACCAGTTATTGCTAGCCCAAGGTCTGAAGCACAGTTTCAGTTTCCTTCTTTCCTTTTCTTTTTTTTTTTTTTTCCCCCCTCTCTCTCTACCAGAGAGAACAGGCAGTTCCTCATCAGCAGTGAAACAAATTATAACTGAATGCACTTTAGAAGCCAGTCAAGAAAGAGAAATAGAGATGTACATAATCCTCAGCAAAGAAACAACTTGTTTGAAATATGGAGGAGACCTTTTATATTCCAAGTCAGGGAAAGACAGAATGGGAACCTTTCAAAATATAGTCTGAAAGGTCCCATTTTGAAGAAATACTTTCTTATTATTTTCTTTGGTGTGTCATAATCTGGAGTTTGTGCTGATTTACCTGGTTTTTGAAAGAAAGATAAATCTTTTTCTTTCTTACAGCAACATACATAGGGGTAGATCTTTGGTATATGTTTAGGGGTAAGCCAAAAGTCAAACATTTATTGAATGATAGTGACAAGGACTATTTTATCCACCAGGCAAATTAATATACAGAGAAAACCTCAAACTTAAGGGAAGAGTTACTTTCAAGAGGAGGAAAAGAGAATAGCTGTGAAAAAACATAATCTTTCAAAGTCACATAATCTTTATAAGCAGTCTTCAGCAATGAATATTTTTCATTTCAAACAATTCTGATTAGCTAGATAAGACATTTTAAAAATCATGTTACATTGTCACATTCACATAAATTATATTTTTCACACTGGTATACCAATCCTTAGCAGTTTTCAAAAAAATCCACAAGGAAAAACATATATTGAATGAATAAGATCCCTACCCAACTGATTTCTGCAGATATCCATGTGACATTCCAAGGAATTTCATACTGCAATGATCCTGCAGGATCTTCCACAGAGTGATCTATAGACACTGAGCTTGTCCTCAAAAGCATTTGTCTTGACAATCATTCCCAAGAGACATTTCACAGGCTCAGTCTGGCTCAAGGCAGTTTACCTGGCTCCAAAACTCTAAGCCCACAAGTTGATCAATTTGGGCCAAGCTACCCACCGCCTGGAAATGGAAGCAACTACAGGGCAGGGACGTCCCAGACCAGCCTCCACAATAAACAGCCTCAAGCTGTCAATACCAGGCTGCCCTAGAATTATTAGCTCTGGTGCACTGCAGCTGAGTTTCTACATTTGAATGTTTTCCACCACATTCCTTAACATGTCACATAGTAACTACATTCTTGCTTTCACTATCATAATGGATAAGTGACAGTAGATTTACACACTGGGCCCACAACGTGCTGTGCTGCACAGAAAGAAGAGATTTTTTTCCATTTACATAGCTGATTTGCTTCTGTCTGATGGCTAGTTTGATGTTCACAAGAGTAAATTTCTTTGGAAAAATAGGTCAATGAAACAGCCACACTGACAGCAGACTGTTAGATTAAGAACGTGGGAGAATCAAGAACAGCCCTGTTTGTACCATATCATGAGAATATAGTGTCTTCATTTTATACTTGCTTTTAGTTTTTTTAATCCTGTTTTTATTTCAAGGAATCACACGTTCAGAGTGCAGACCAGTGCTTTTATCTGTCTACTCATCAACCACTTGAATTTGCATTTTAGTACCTATCTACAATTCATTCAATGTGTTTTCACAGCTGCTCTCTTTTGACCTTAAACGTAGTTCACAGGTACTTAGTAAAGAAGCTACTATACATAAAGGAGCATTATTCCCAGGTGAATTTTCCTTGATAATTTTTTTTAAAATTGCAACATAGACATGAATGAAAATTAAAATAATTTGACCTTGAGCAGCTTTCGATCTCCTTTCTCAGCAAGATCTTCTATTTCAGGACAGGGGAAGAAACCATGAAATGGTGTGAATGGACTAGCCTTTGTCCTGCATGTGCCTGAGAAAGCACCAATCAAGCTATTAATGCTTCGAAGGGAAGAAATCACTTGTGGTGGAAGGGATGGGTCAGTCAGGAGATCTGTTAGCATGCTCCGAGTCTCGTTTAGTACTGAAAGATCAACTCCATTTCCACCGCCAGCATTCTAGAATAGATGGAAATGTTGCAAACTATTAATATGTCAAAATATTTCACAGGATTCTAAGTTTTAAATAAGCACCTTATCCACTGCAATTTTAAAAAATAAAAAAAAAAATCCAATGCATTTTTCTTCTAAAGAAAATATACACATATAGACATATTCAGACACCAATTTTTGCAGGTTTTTCACACAATTAAAAATATTTCGGAATTCAACATTAGCTTGCATCTTATTTTTCTCTATTTAAAACAAAGATCTGGTGCTAATTTTTTTATCTCAATTCTTCATTACTTTGTCTCATAATTACACTTAGTATTCTATCTCTTCCAATAATATCAACAGAAATTTTGGTGGCCAAACTGTTACAAGGCTCTTATAGAGGTGCAATTTCCACAGCCTCATTACTTTTATTAACCCTGATTCTACTGAAACAAATCCTAACAATTCTGTCAAAAAAGTGGTTAGTTTTCATTTGGCATAATTCTCTGAACAGGAACAGCAATAGCTGATTAGATGCAACTGCTGATACCAGAGAGAGGGGGAGAAACAAGGAATCAAGAAAAAAAGCTGAGAACCTGGTAGACCTGAGTTTGGTGACATTGCTGGGGAATAACTCCCTAACCTTATGCTAATGGATATTTAAAAAAACCCACTCCCACCTTAGTTAGGTTTGAGATTGTTCTCTTATACACTACAGAAAGTAGGTCCCTGCCAGCTTGGTCAGAACTGCTAAATATCAAGCCTTTGCTACACAGAGCTAAAATGTATGAGGACAATTTAGGCAAATAAAACATCAACAGAAAAACTGATATCTGACAGTTTACGGTGAACTCTGTACTCAATCAGATTTCACATAAGAATAATTAGATTCATTATACACTGACCTGGTAATAGGGCTTGTACCACTGCTTCAAATCCCAATCCCAAAGTATCATCTGAAAAGAAAAAAAAAAAAAAAAAAAAGAAAAAAAGAAGAGTAATAAGTGACATGCTAATGTTGAAAAACAACAAGGGAATAACTGTAACTTAGGCCATTTTCTCAGTTTATGCTACCCCATTAAAAGTCCTAAAGAAGAGTTTGAAGAAATTACAGGCAACCAAGGTATCTCAATGACAGAATAATTATATGGCCTTGTTTCAATACTTCTGGATTGTTTATAAATCATTTAACATGTACACTAAAGTAGCTGGTGACAGTGCTTTCCTGCTTCTATTCACCTCAATTTATAAAAGCAAATCTATCCTAAAACCTCCAATATATTTTATAATATTTTTCTTTCCAGAATCATTCAAACAGTAGCAATTTTGTAAATACAGTGCAGAAAGTACTAAATTAACATCATTTATTTTTAAAAAAGGCAAAAAGCTCCTGAATATCTCAGGGTAAAAATCAGTAATTTTAAAAGCATTTTCTTGCAGCAAGTTTTGTTAGGTTTTGCTTGAATATGGTTACAAATCTACATGTTCTGAATAACTTCACAAACCCACCAAACCCACAAAAGAACGTCAGCAACACAATCCGAAGATACTATCTGCTTCAAATACGTCAACAGCACTCCCTTAATTTTTCTTCTATACTGACAAAAAATAAAAACAGCATACAAGAAATGAAATTCAGGTGTCTGTTTTGTTTCAAAAGTGTTCAGTCTTTGTGATTTCTTGACAGGTTCTAACTATTCTCTGATAAATCAACTGATTTGCACAAGATGCATTTACAAATTAAAAAAAAAAAATTAAAGATAACCCTTTTTTTCCTCTTTCCGTAGCTACAGAGCACAAATAAAGTGCCAATACTCCACTGGGTAATTCATATTCTGCAGTCCTGTAAGTTTTTCCTGCTTATTTTTATAGGTGAGAACTATGTTTGGTTTTGTTCTTCTAAGACTAACAGCTCTTTCGTGGAGAAAACACAATGTTCCAGGCTGGCACTTGCCCAGCAGAAAGTGTCGATAAAGAAACACAGGCTGACGTGTCAGCAGTACCCCGGCAAGGGCAGCACTTAAAGGCTCTTTTTCTCTTCTGTTATCTTCATAGAGATACCATTAAACCATGTTTAAAGTTAATAGCTATGACACCCACTTGCTATGAAAAGTGAAGAGATCTATCATTAAGCATGTGCTTAAGCTGGGTGTAAGTTATGCTATATCAGAAAGTCCTATTGTGTAAAGCAAGTAGATCTAAATCGAGAATTAAGAATTTAAGAATTTGTATTTTGGCGGGTTTTAAGTGATTAATCTAGCTACCATCTTTTTTTTTTTTTTTTTTTTTTCTAACTGAGCATACGAGATGACTGTTAGCCTGTCAGTGACAAGCATTAAGATAACGACCAACATTGTCTGGCCATACCCATTTTGCATGATGCATTCGGTTTTAGCATGATCATTGTAAAGATGAAGGGTTTTTTCTTCCATAACACACTAGAATGAGTTGTCCATCTGGGCACATTGGTGGGGTTTTGCTGGGGTTTTCTTTTGTTTGTTTGTTTGGGGGTTTTTGTTTGTTTTTTGTTTGTTTTTTTTGCGGGTTTTTTTTCGAGTTTCTCTTTCCAGATTGACATTTATTTATTTTTATCAACCATCAGTAAATCTTTTGGTTTCATTTTGTCCTCCTAAGCTCGGACGCAGAGACTGCATTAATCTGCTTCGCTGACTTTTGACTCGACCAGCAACAAAGATCAGATGTCCACACGAGTTCTGTTAGTTGTATTAGCAACCTTTGGTACCGATGGGCCACAAAGTTGCGTCAGCTTGCTTGCAACCTTGCAACCTCCATTAGGGGACACAAAAGAGGTTTCCCTCTTCTAATATTTTTCTTTTAATCATGTGGTACTTTAGCTAATCTTAATTATTTGTCGTAAATAAGATCTTAATAAAATACCAATGCTCTTGCTAACTCCAGAATGTTTCTGTACCAAATCTTCAACTACTTTTACTGATGCAACCTCTTTTATTCATCCTTTAAACTGTTGGGAGCTTCTGTGTATATGTATGTACGCACATGCATGCTCACATAAGTTATACTGTTATAATTTTGAGGGTCAATCTATACAACTAAAAAAGTTCAAAATCTTCCCTTTGGCTTTAGCCCTGCTATATTAAAGAAACAGGCTCAAAGTTGCAAAGGCAGAAAACATTCAGTGGAAAGTGTTACTGCTATATCTTCTGTCCCATACTCACCCAGTATATAGAAGGTAAAACAATGTACGCAGCTCACACAAAGTCTACTTCCATCGCAAATAATGGTTTGATATTTTAAATGGCAGGTCACCATTTTATACACAATTTTATTTAAATGAAAATTTTCACAGCTTGGATTCAGGATTGAAAATTTTATGTTGTCATTTAAACCAGAAGATTTAAGCTTCTCCACTGATACCAATTTTACAGCAAACTAAAACACAGTTTTGAAATAAACAGAATTTAAGTTTACTGTATGTTGCCAAATGATTATTTATTTTTTAATCATCACCATTAATTAGAAGTCATATCCCCTGAGAGAAGACAGGTGAAGTATATTAACACAGCTAGCAGGCTACCACAGCCTACATTAGCTGTAAAATTTTGAGGGCTTATTCTACCTGCCATACGTTGAAGTAATTAAAATGAGCTGATGAAAATGTTAGGCACAAAGTAGCAATGTCTTCTACTAAGCACAATGGAAAAACCGCAGATCGCTCTACAAGGAATATTTTTCCATGGTAAATACAACTCGGTACCTCTCTGAACCACCCAAACCCTTGCAGGTTAACATAACAATGCGAGGGGGGGCTATGACCTTCGGCAGATGCCTACAGCAGACCACGAGGTGGCACTCAAATCCATGAGCCTGCCCCGCAGAGCCCGCCTGGGGAGGAAGGAACAGAAACCAGCAGCCTCGTCCTTAACGCACCTTCTGCAGAAGCGAAGTGGTTTGAGGGACAAGGCGGGGGTGACGCTTTTAAAGGTTAACAGCTGATAAATTCTGCTGCTTTACAAAAACTTCTCTGGTCAAAGAAGAATTTACTCCTTACCATTCTATTCAGAAGGTAACTGCAGGAAAACCATGCTTTGTTTCTCGCTACCTACCAGGCTTAGCTTAATTAGCCCAACTCTATGTCTTGCAAGTTAAATCTGGAGTACTAAAAAAGCAGCATTTTTGGCATTATTTTTGTTGAGAGTTTGGCAGTCAAAGCTTTAACTAATTGCTGTGCATCATCAACAAAAGTTGCAAAGTATCCCCAGAGCTGCATTAATCTTACAACAGGAGTAAAAAGGATACAGTTCATTTTGACTTAATGTGAACAGAACAACAGACCTTAAAATAGGTCTTAGGCAGACCCTTAGCAATTTTTGATTTTGCAACCATAAGACTTGTTGCAGAAAGATTTGTACTCTGTAATACTAAGATTTTGTAATCCATTGCACATAACATTCCTCCTCACCTCCTCCAACAACAAACACCTGATCTAGGAGGGACTTGAGTCATAAAAGTTCCAAGCTACAACTTAAACCTCTGCTTAGCAACACACACACTTGAGCTTTTGAGCATCCATCGTCAGTGCTGACATCACAGCAATCAGACATCTGGGACCTCCTTTGAAAACAAAACTGCAGTGTGGTCCAACATTGCAGATGAACTTCTGAAAGGTGAGAAATGCATAGCCCTCCCCCCATAACCTTGTATACTGAATTACCAGCCAGCTTGGAGGAGAAGTCCTCCTGTTAGCCTGGCTCTAACCCCAGAGTCTCCCAGCCCATCCAAAGAGCAATGACCATAGTTCCCTGGTTTTATATAATTGCCTGTCAAGCTGATCAGGGTTTTGAAGGACAGTTAATAAAAAACAAAACCCCGCACATAACACAGTGCTATGCCTTGTTCTTTAACTGTCAAAGTGTGTATTATGTTTAACTATAATAATTGAATCTATTTAGCCTATGAAATAAATTTCAACACAGTTAAAGGAAGACAAGCTGGCTTACAAAAACCCTTTAAGTACAAGCGACATTTTCTGATTTGGCCGCCATCGGCCAGTGACGTGTTTAGGTCAAACTGAAACATGTCACTCAAAACAGGCTGAGTATCAACAGAGGGATTTACATCACTGGAAGCAACTTTTTTAAAAACTAAAAAAGTTGTTAAAGCTCAATAAATCCTCCACAGAGTTACTATTCTGAAGAATCTTAGAACCATAGAACGGTTTGGGTTGAAAGGGACCTTACAGATCACCTAGCTCCAACCCCCCTGCCATGGGCAGGGACACCTTCCACCAGACCAGGTTGCTCAAAGCCCCATTCAACCTGGCCTTGAACACCTCCAGGGATGGGGCATCCACAGCTTCTCTGGGCAACCTGTGCCAGGGCCTTACCACCCTCACGGCCAAGAACTTCTTCCTAATACCTAATCTATATTCAGTTCTGTGGATGTTTAGTCAAACCTATGGAGATTTAAAATACATATCACTTACTGGAAATATGCAGGAAAATTGACAGTAGGCATCAGATATTACCCTTAGTTTATGTTTTCTCAAACAATGAACACAGTATTTCTGTATACTCCAGAGGAATTGCCATGCAATTTGAACACAAGAATTTTAGAATCGACACATCTGACACTATTTGTAACCCATCTATCCACTGGGGGGGGAAGAGGTGAAGGCCCCAATTGTTGAATATCAACCCAAGAATTACCAAAATTTAAGGATTGCCCCTTTGCAAAGCACACATTGTAGCAACATCAGAAACATTTGTTAAAAAAAAGTACACAAGGAACACAGTAATAAAAGCCTTCCCTAATACAGCTTATAGATCAAACAGCAACAGGAACAGATATATTAATTTTTACAAAGGAAAAGGAAAAAAGTGCTCAACTGAGAAGTTTATAATCTAAATAAACTAAAAACAGATGAGAAGTGGGAGAAGACAGCCAATGAAAACCAGCAGAGCTTCAAGGTTTTCTG